ATTATGAAGGTGTGGTTAAGATTCAAACCTAACATCCTTAAATTTAATTACTGTTTCAAAGAGCAACAGAGGATTTGTCAGCCGTACTATCGGATCAGCTCCAACCAGCAAAGCTCAGTCAACTGAACTCACCTCCTCCACCCTCACACACCTGGGGCTCCCCGCAGAACATGTCATGCTCTTGCACAAGAAAAATATCCTGTTACGACTAATTCTCTAGACCTTATGGTTTTGGTGTTTCTGATGTAATGTGTTGCTTCTTGGGAGTGGCTTTGAGTTGTTGAATCACCAAATGAGCGGTGTATACACAGTATTTGCATGTAAATACACAAAAGTGTTCATTTTTAGTGTCTTTATTGTTATTCAAATCATGAAGATTTATAAATGCAAACATAAAAGCACATCTTTACTGCATTGTTTATTCTGTAAAATACAAGTTTCTATATTGGCACATATCATCAAACATAAACACCAACACTGATATGTTTGCAAAAGGCTCATATAAGCAGTTGGGCTCTAATACATTTCTCCAAACAGGTCCATAAAAGAAAAAGATAGGTAGAAACTAGGTAATATCTGGGGATATTTATACAGTAGTGTTGTAGACTGTACTGTATCCTATATATTTAAAATAAACTACTGCTTGAAGCTCAACTTTCTGCACTAAGATCTGTAAGTATGCATTTTATGGACATCTATTGCATAGGTGTTTAGCTTTGGCATCAACATTAATGAAAGTTACCTCTGATTATTTCACACAAAGTTAAGTGTTTTGCACTAATATTTAAAATTTTAACATTTAATATCAGAATTTTAAAACCCACTTAATATAGATGATCACTTCAATAGTTATGTTATAAGGAAATTGTGCACAGGCCACTTTCCAAAGTAATTCTACAGCTATCAAGGAGTATTTGAGACAAAACTATCACAGCACACCAACCCATTTTAAAATCACAGCAGTGTTCTCAACACATTTCATCACCAACTTCCTCTTGATTCACGCATGCAAGATATGCCTATCACTGAATGTGTGTCTTCCCTTCTGTGAGGAGGTAAGTGCACATACAGGCTCCACATACATTATCTATATGCATCAAGTCCCAGACGCAGCTTTTAGAAGTCAGTATAAAATCAAACTTGACAGGTTCTTTCCTATAATGAGCCACAGCTTTCCATATTAATGAACTGAAATGTATGATATCCTTTATAAGATTACTTCTCTGCACAACTTACACAAAGCAAAAATGGATAAAAACACATATAGTCCTCAGGGGTGTTTACTGTTGTTACAAATCCAGAGGGAATTGTGAGGCTTCTGATTGTAAAATTCTTGCACTTATCCTTTACTTATCATTGCACACATTTCTATGCAGGTTATTGTTAGTGCATGTCTGTGAAAACATGTATCTTAATCTGCATTTGTGGTTTTAAGAGCCCCGGTGAAGAAATGTGTCAATTGCCTTGTGCAAGTCAAAACCCAGAGTTTCCTGTAAACACAGTTATTGCTGCATGAGACAACCTACTTTGAAGCTCCCTAGTACAGTGATTCAGCAGTATTTTTGGTTTATGGCGATCTGCAACCAGAGAATGAAGATGGCATTTTGATCCAGCGAGCAAAAATCTCATGGCAGCCATGCAGATGCATCTACCAAACGTATTCCCATCTGTTTGTCTACTGTGAAATGAAGCATGCAGCAGGGGATTACCTCCAAACAATTGGCTTTTACAAAAGTGCCATGCAGTATTGCTCCTTTGAAAACTTGCCTATGGCAAAAAAAACTCTGACCCAATAAATGCAGAACATTGCAGAGCAAAATGCTGCTTTCACCAGGAAAGTGGGCACACAGGCCTGCTTAAAGCCCTCAGCTTTGTCAAGGAAATCTTTAGCCAGCCTCTTTTGTACCGGCAGTGTAGAAAACACCCAGAGAAGTATGCAGCAGGAGAGACTTCCTGACAGCTCATTTAACATTCTGCCTGCTTCCACCCACTTAATCTAGAGCCCCCACCTCTCTGACGTTAGCTGATTCTTTTGTGAAAAACAGAACATCGTGCCATCTTTCCTTTTATAGCAAATTTTTCAGACACTACTCCCACAATCATAGGCCTTCACTGTACACAGGCACCATCAACCCAGAGAGGAGAAATGCCCTTTTTTCACTGCAGCCTCTGTACAAGCTGATGCTTCACGCGGGCCTGGGCTCCAGGTGCAATTAGAGACAGACAAGTCAGAGAGACGCAGCTCTGCCGGAGACAGCCCAATCAAACACGGGGTCTGGTGCTGCCGCTGCCAGTGTCTGGCTGAGCAGTGAGTTGACAAATAAAGTCCACTCACACTGATAACAGGCTCAGACTCCACTCCTCCTCACTGACTGGGACCCTCACTACAGACCTGTGGAGTCTCCAGAGACATTTAGCTTTCAACAGCCCAGACCAGTTTACAAAAGACGCTTACAGAATGAGGTCAACCACAGCATCTCGCTTTTTAAACTCTTACAAACCTCCAGCATTTTATCAGGCCAAAGGTTTATCTTGCTGATAAATCTTAACAGCGGTGACCATAATTGTATGCAGTGGTGAGAAATGCTAATTCTGCCTTGGATATAATACACATACCTCACAAAGGAATAATTTAAGACCATGTTGATCACAATGAGTTCAAGGTGTAACAAAGACAAAAGGAAATTGAGCCACATGAGATGTGATTCATTATCTTCATCAATAATTAAGCTGTTCAGTCCGTTACAACCAGTCTATATATTCACATCTCACACACAAACATTTGTGACACTTAAAGATATTTAAGACTGCTGAGTCACCACATTACCTATATTACACATTACAGAGTAAAACAGATGAACACAAAAGACCTTCACTGAGAGGTGGAAAAGAGAAGGAAGCAGCAGCAAACTTAAACAGCCGCACAGAGCTTTGTCTGTTTCCAAAAGCCTGTGTCACTCTTCGCACATCCACATCCTACTGTATGTGAACACCTGCAGTCTGTGCCTCTGCAGATCAGTTACTGACTGTGTATCTAAAAGATAATAAAGATGAGTCAGTATGAATCAATGAGGTTTGCAAGAGCTGGAAATAAAGCTGTATATACCGCTGCGCACTCACACACACACACACACACAAATAAATGTATTCTCATCTGCCTGAGATTTCCTTCCTGCTGTTTAATTCTGAAACCTATAACTTGTTTTTAATGCTTTATCTTTCACTGAGTAGGAAATGATGCGTCTTTAACGCCAAGGTTTGACTATAATTTTCAACATACAAACGTTCAGCCAGCTCTGTGCTCTGGTGAATACCCTGCATGATATTATGTTTGTGCAGCCAAATCTCCTTTGGATTGTTGCTGGGCACTTCATATGGTGACATTGCATTGAGTAAAACCTAACAACAATGTATTTATATACCAATAAAAATAAAGATTATTGATAACCAAGTCCTTTTTCATGTAAATGTGCTAAAAAGCAGTTAGAGGCCTACAACATATAAAGCTTTACAGCTTTTCTCAGTTTTATGTCATCGTTAACTGAATATTAGTTGGTTGCGAAACCTTCAGCAAACACTTGGTTGTATAGCTAGGAGTCCACATATTTGTACTATTATTAGATAATTGAGTAAGCCACCCTGTGGTAAATGGAACAATATACTATGTAATGCATGACCCCACTATAGTGGATGATCAATGGGATCTAGTGAAGGAGTGAACCATGACTAATGTGGTTCATTTGGCTGCTCAAGACCTCTGAATTACTGTGTGCACAGACCTGCCCTAACAAAGACGACATAAACCTAAAGATTCATGTCAGGTCTCTGTTCAGCTTAGTCTGATCTTGTGTAAGATCATTTTCACAATAATACTCTGAGTCATGAGAAATAAATCATCTTCTTATTTGAAGATTACTAAATTCCGATCTCTTTCTCTTAAACCCTGAGAAATAACTAAGACGAGATAAATTATCCTGACGAGTTCTTCTGTGTTCATTGGACTCTCAGAGTATTCTTTAGACTGGATCACTGACCACTTACGTTTAAGTAAGAGAAAATAGTCTGAATCTCAAATTGATGTTATTGCACAGTGAGACAGGGGATAGGATGTGTGAATGCTTGTTTGCTTGAATCGTTTCATCTGCTCTTAATGAGTCATGGATGTTTATGTTTGCTGATTGTGATTGAGCTGTTTACGATGAAAGCTGGAATATTGCAGCATTTCACAAAATAATTTAATGAAATATGAAAAGGGGGGTATGACTCAATTAGTGTTAACGCCTTCCTATTCCTTTTTGGACAATAGTTGTTTTTTTCTTGTTTGCTGTGCCTTTATCTTTTTGCTCATACCGATTTTTTATTTTTATTTTACATGTTTGAAGAAAAAAACCTAACATTGATCTTAAATTGAGCTCAGTCATGTCTAGAAAAGAAGGGCAAGACAAAGAGATCTTTCTGAATGTTCTTTTGCTGAGCCTGAATGGAACAATACCGCAGCCACACAACTTATCTCATCGCCACTGACAACTTGGGTGTGTCCCATCACACACACACACAGGAATATTTACCAAGTTGTATCATCACCAGCATCAGGACAGGCTGCACATTCAGTTTCATTTACACAGCACTGCTCGTTTCAAAATAAAAGCCTAATTAAACGCTTCCCAAGGTATGAATTAGCATCATTATAAAGCCTCTGTTATTTTACTGATAAACTTGAGGAGGCTACATGTCACACACTCCAATCTATTGTGTGGAGCATTGATCTGGACCCCCCACCCTCCTCCTCACCATCACTACCAGAAATGAACCAGCTCTCTTCTTCCCTTTAAACCCTTAAAGCTGAGAGAGAAGCGGAGCCTGACAGCAGCAGCAGCTAAAGCTAACTCCATGTTGTGTGAGTTGCTGACTGAGCAGCAGCAGCAGCAGGTGCAGCGGGTTCAACTTGACTCGCGAGAACTTCTCCTCCAGGAGAAACAAACATGTCTTCTCTCACTCACCGCTCTGCTCCCCCAGGAAGACCAGCTTGAATTTTCTCAACGGGTTCCCGAAGTCACTGGACACGGACATTGCGAAGAGGAGGAGGAGGAGGTAGGTGGAGGAAGAAGGGGAACTCTAGACGCCGGAGAGGACGAGTTGTGACTGGGCTCTCACTCGAGTTGGCTGCCGGTGGGTGAAGATGCTGGATGGAAAAAAAAGGCGGTGATGCTGCTTCACTTTCACCCCCTCCCTCCCCTCTCTCTCTCCTCCTCCCCCTCTTCCTCTCTCACTCACTTCCTCTCTCTCTCTGTAGCTCTCTCTCTATTTCTTCCTCCCTCTCTCTCTCTCTCTCTCTCTTCGTGATGGGAGCACGCGGCTGCTGCTCAGGTCCGTGACGCTCCGGGTGCTTTTTTTTTTTTTTACCCGAGGGCTTGTGCGCATGCGCGGCCTCTCCTTGTTCTCCACTGACCTGACAGTCGTGATATAAGATGACGTCATATGTGTTGGAGCGGTGGGGTTCAACACTTATATAGACTTATATAGATTATAAAGACAAAAGTCAAACACAAGGGAGTGTGGTGAAAACAAATAAGGTTACATATCAGGGTCATAAAGAATAGAAGTTATTATCTATAAGTATCACAATATAGCAATATAAGAAAATATACTAGAATACTAGATACTAGAATGACTTTCAGAGTACTTACATCAGCCAAGGCCCAACACTCCCCTCATGACACCACATTTAGATCCACACACTCATCAGTCAGGATTTTTTTTTACTCAACATCCATGAATTCTTCTCTGAGAAATAAATACAAATGTAAAAAAAAATAAAACACCCTATCTCACAATGTTTAAGAAAGTGAAAAAAATAAATCCTGGACCCACACCAAAATGTAATAGGTTCTTTGTTGATGTCCCAGCCTCTCCACAAAACTTTGTGGAAACTGGTTTATGTGTAATTTTGCTAAATGTAAAACAAACAACTTCAGAATCTTATTGCCCAGCCATACTAACATATAGATTTGTACATGTTATCTTAGCATATTCATTTCAGTAAATTCAGTTCCAAGTGTGTGGTTTGATGTTGGAGACATTTTACAAACATTTACATGTTGTACTGTATTGTTTTGTTGTCTCATATCTGACTGCAAGCCAGGTTTCCCACCTGGGATCCTAAAGGACTAGCAGATGCAGACATCCCATAGTTGTTTCCATGGGCAGAGTTGCACTTCCCACGATGATTTTTGATGAATTGTAGTGTATGTAGCTGTGCATTACATACTTCTGACTACATAAAGATTCACTTTACTTAATTTAAATTTATACAAAATGTCAACTTGTGAAGCCGTCTCCTCCAAGTCTGCATTAAAGGTACAGTGTGTTGAATTTTGTGATATCTAGTGTTGAAATTTCATGTTGCAGCTGAACACCCCTCACCTCACCCTCCCCTCCCAAACATGAACAAGAACCTGTGGTAGCTTCAGTTGTCATAAAAACTCAAAAGGTGTTTAGATTGTCCAGTCTGGACTAATGTAAAAAACATGGCCGCCTCCGTAGAGAGGGTCCCCTCGATGTAAATATAAAGTATTTAAATATAAAGGACCTTTTCTGGGGTAAAGAAAACTACAATTCATACAATTTAGATGAAATGAACTAGAGAAAACATCAAGAGGATTATTCTACATTAAATTAAGCCTATAGTTCCCTTTCACCTAAATCTTACACACTGGACCTTTAAATGCATACTACGTGATCATTTTATTAAATAAAGTGACGGTTTTTGATTAAGAGTGAGAATAAAAATGTTAAAAATAGGACTCTGACACTGAAACACTTTACAAGCCAGAGTCACAAGAGAACATAAAAATGCAGGTCCCATTTTAACTGATATCAGTAATTAGTGGAGCAAATTCCTGAACACATGAATAAAAACACCAAATCTAACTGACATGCTGTTAGTCTGAGTGAACAGGGGCTGCTCACTTTGCTGGGTTCATTCTCCAGCCTGAAAGACAAAAAAAAAAAAATCACACAAAGCTGAATAATTATACGGTATATTATTTTTATTAGCCAGTAATGCTTACATGTCGATGCACTCCACTGTAATAACTACCATATGACTACACCAGTAGATAATGTGCATGGTTAATTTAATTTTATGAGTAACGTATGTAATTAATTTCGGAAATGTCATCAGTGTTGGATTAAAATCAAACGATATATATGAGGTTACATGAAATGACTATTGAAGTTATCACAGATGTCTCTAAGTATGAGACAAACATCTTAAAAAATAAACTTAAATATTAAGCTATACAGTTAATTAGTTACAGAGTATGTTCCCATGCAGAGAGGAACCTGCATAGAGTCCGACCTCATGGAACAAGTAATATACATAGAATATCTGCAGTTTATCATTGGTCAGACTGTTACATCCTAAATCCATGTCAAATGTTGTGAGGTACCATACAAGAGAAGCGTTTGAGCTCCTCTGTCTTCTCTTGTAATGAGAGGGCCATATTGACAAAACAATTCCAATCAGAAGCTTTAAAGAATCCAAAAAATGATCCTGTTTAAAAAATGTATATTTTCTCCAAACAGTGGAGCACCACGTAGTGAAGTGGGCCTACAGATATTGAGATCAGTGTAGGCCTCTCTTGGCTTGTGTCTTTCTCCCACTGACACAGCTTTTCTCAGCACTTCTCTCTGTGTATCACCACAGGCAAGCTTTAAGAAACAGAGAGGCTTCCGTCAACGCGCACGCTCAGCGGCGTCACAGTAATCCTTCGGGCCTCTTCTCCAGACTGTACTCCTGGGTCCGATGCACCTTCCACCCCAGCATCATCAGCAGCACGATGCCCATCACCTTATAACCCACCTGTAGGCCCAGGTATCTGCAGGAGTCAGACAAATAGAAGTGAATGTCAGCAGTGATGCACCTCTACTGCATATGTGTATGTGGCATCTGTGTGATTGGTAAGGTAAGTGATAAGTTTTCATACCGGTTCCTCAAGATGTTGTTGTCATAGTAACCACAGCTAAACTTCTTTCCGCACACACGCTTCCACCAGATACATGACGAATCGATGGCCATCCCGAAGAGAGCAGGGGCAGGCAGCCAGGCTGAGGGAGGAAGGAGTTGATTTTTCAGTAATTTCGCAAATTATTGATTCATTCATTCATTCATTTCATAAACATTT